CTAGTTGTTTAACAAAGTAAGCTACTGTTACTGCTCAGAAAATGTTTTATGACTTTTTTTTTTTTTTTTCAAAAGCAATTCCATCCAAGATTTAACATTTCTTGCTCTATGAAAATTGCTTCTTCTATCTGCTCAAAATTTATTTTTCTGGAACGGAAGCCCATTCTCTCGTTTTCTCAAAGTTGGAGATAACATCTGTTTAATACCTTCTGTATAAACGAGACCATATTGAGGGCATGTGTTTATGCAACCATTTACATAACCATTCCTAAACAGAGATGAGTTTTGGCATCTCAATGACCTAATTATAATCTCTAATCTGGCTGAGCTGATTGGATGGACAAACTGATTTAGTAACAAAAGGAAATAAAAATTAGGCTCCACTATACATAAATACAAGGGTAAATTAGAAAGTATTGCTACTAGGGTTCTAGTTCATATGTACAGAGGTGTATTCCAAACAAAACATGTTTAAACATGTCCCTGCAGTCAGTGGATGGCTGCACACAAGTTCTCTCATGAACATACTTGTCTCAGTCTCATTGTTGTTGTTAAGTGCCGTCGAGTCGGTTCCGACCCATAGCGACCCTGTACAGGGTTTCCAAGGCTGTAAAGCTTTACGGGAACAGATAGCCTCATCTTTCTCCTGCAGAGTGGTTGGTAGTTTTGAACAACTAGCCTTAAGGTTCGCAGCCCAATTTGTAACCACTACGCTACCAGAGCTCCTAGAGTGCCTTAATAAAAAGGTCCCATCAAAAAACAATGGCTTCTAAGGGGATCTGCTGGCTTAGGCAAATTCAAAGCATAGTGGTCAACTAAGAAGGTTAGAGCAACGGTTGCTTGGGATTTTAAAGGGGCAATCTTAATAGATTTTCTAAAAGGACACAGGACAATCACGGGGGCTTATTAAGAACTTTTAAGAAAACTGCATTGGTGAGAAAATGGCCAGAAAGTTGTACCAAGGATTTCCGGCCCCCAATAGCTGCAATATGACTTGTTCATTCTTCAAGGGCAGCAAGGCCTATCTTGTAAGAATTTCTTCAGGAAATTTTACAGCATCTCCCTACATCCCTGATCTTGCCCCTTCAGACATCTTTTTGTTTCCCATACTCAAAGAATGTTTCAAGTACTTGATTCCTTCGAGGATGCCAAAACTGCCATTTTGACATGACGGAAATCAGAGTACAGAATTTTGGGGGAAGGATTAGAAAGATGGGAAACACTGCTGAAGGCAGTGTATAGGGGTATATGGAAGGTATGTCGAGAAAGAATAGCTTCACATTGTGATATTTTTGTTTCATAAAGGTTTCTATGGTTTTGTAGCAATGTTTTTTTACTTACCCTTGTACATAAATATATATATAAAAACACAATAGAGGCACATATACTTTTTTTCCTCTTCAATATATGTGGAAGTTAAAATTCAGCTTTAGGTTTCTTTTGGGTGTGTGAGGAATGCGAAGAAAAATAAAGGCTTCCTTCGTGCAAGTTGTTGTTCTCAAGTGCTGTTGAGTCGATTCTGACTCATAGCAACCTTGCACAGGAATTCTAAGGAGCAACTGGTGAGTTTGGTTCACAGTCTAATGCTGATCCTACAGACCCACACTAGGAATCAAATTTGTGTTGTTGAGTGCCGTCTAGTGGTTCCGACCCATACTGACTCTGTATAGGGTTTTTGAGGAGCAGCTGGTGAACTTGAACCATTGACCTTACTGTTCAAATCAACTTTTCAATCCAGCGCATTAACTCACCAGGAATCTTAAAGTGAATTGTGGCACTCACCAGCCGCTCCTTGGAAGCCCTATACAGGGTCGCTACGGGTCAGAACAGACTCAATGGCACTTAACAACAACAGCAAAGTGAACTGTGGCATACTGTGAGTCTTAAACCTGGTATTTCAGTAAAAAATTTAGTATTTTGTTTTCTTAATGTTTCTTTCAAATCCATAGGCCTTTCCTGGGGTCTTTACGATTTTGAATGTTTCATGACAAATTAGGTTCAAATGTCATTTATACACAGGAGCTGTTGGTTCTTACGGTGGCAGATCTTGCAACAAGTGTCTGTGTTCAATTGAGGACAAATTGACCTGATTCCAACCTGGAGTTTTCTTGTTCTAGTCCCATGCCAGGCAAACAGAGGTTTTCACCTGGTTAGACAGAAGCTTGCCAGTTGCTGTGAAATTAATCCCAACTCATGGGGACTCCATGCGTTGCAGAGTAGAAGTGCTCCCTAGGGTTCTCATGGTTGTGATCTTTCGGAAGCTGACTGCCAGGGCTCCCATCTTTGGTTCCTCTGGGTGGATTGGAACCAGTAATCTTTCAGTTAGGAACTGAGGACCTGACCATGTGTAGCACCCGGGGACTCCAGGTAGAAGCTTAGATAGAAACAAATTCCATCATCTGAACAGCCATTGTGAGCTTGTGGAATAAACCAGGCTAAGCTGTTGTTCTCAAACATGTTTATTTGTACCAGTTTTACATGGTGTGTTACAGAAATTAATGGAAAATTTCTAAAAATTTTGCTGTTCTGTTGAATGTATTGTACATAAAGTTAAAAATAATGTGTCCATATATGTTAACAAACTGTCATCTGAGGTAAAGTTAAAGTAGGTCTAGAAATGTACTGCAACAGTCATTTTCTCTTTCTCATCTTTATTAAAAATATATGTGTCAGAATGCAGAAATTGAAATGAACCAAACCCACAGAGTAAACACTTTTTTTTTTTTTTTTTTTAAAGAAGGTGTCCAGCACATTACATGATGGGGTTTCAGTAGACACTGGGATGAGTATGAGCTATCAAAATAGTCTTGCAACATGTAAAGATTGAAGAGCCATGGGGGATGGGGACGGAATGACAGGTGGCGTTTCCCTGGTTTCAAAATTTAAAGTGACAAATTTCGTGCTAGTGAAGGATGAGGAATTAACAGTTGTACACACAGATTTACTATTGATCTAACCAGAACTGTGTAGACTCCCCATGGTGCTTTGGTATTGGCACCACAGCTCACTGGAAAATTTCAGCGTATTCCTGGGATAGGACACGGTGGTTCTGAATTCACTGTAGAATGCTTGGGAAAATCAGAATTCTGCCAATGATGACAAAGCTGGCAGTTTAAAACCTATTCTTTATTCCTCCTCACTTTAATGGGCATCTTCTTGAAGTTTAGAGCCAGTTACATTTTCAATCATGTCCAATGAAAAATGACAAGTCCACTGGGCTGTCACCTTCTGCTATGACATCAACTCCAGACGATGTACCTGAAACAGCAGCAGCAGCCGGCATTCACTTTCAATGTGTCAGAATCAACCCACAGAATCAGTATAATGGTGTGATACTGCAAGACAAACTCAAGACAGTCATATTGGGCAGAAGATAGCACCACTGGTTTAGAATCTGAACCATGGACAATGAAGCAACTGAAGCCTTTTCCCCATGAGACCTGCCTGTCTTATCAAATCCCCAGAATACACAATTGAACTGGTTTCAGGACAACTCCCATAGTTACCACACCTTTTCCATTTCCCCTTCATGTGAAAGAATTACCTAATCATCAAATCTATACATGTCCCTGGAGCAATGAAGTGGACCACCAGGTGACAGCTACAAAGGGAGGTAATTGGCCCTTCCACAATAGGATGACATTTACATATATTCTGTAATGGATATTTAGTCAGTTTACCTAAATGGAAATAAATTCGATCCCAGTGACCTGATAGCATGAAGTTTAGGTTTAAAACAGTTAATAGCAATCACCTTGACCTATTAGATTTTCTCTTTGTAAACCTTCTTCCAAATAATTTGACTTTCTACTGATTATGAAGAACCCTATTCAAATCAACCATATCACAGCCAATTTTCAGTTTCAAAATTTAAAATCCAAAGCAGTAATAACTACCCAAGTCCAATTAATCCCATGATTCTTGAACCTTTTCTTCTTAGTGTTAAACCACTAAATTCAACATACTGTAACTGCATAGGAACATCAGGAAACACATTTGACCTGTATAACAATTCTCTGTAGGGCAAAAATATATAGATTCTTTATGAAAATCATGTGCGAAACATACGAACCGAACACTGCACTTTTTGTCTCATAAATGTAAAAAAAAGGAAGCTTAAACTCTTCTGTTTCACATACAAACAGTCCAGTGATTTTCTTGGGGATACGTGGGGGTTGGAGAAGTGGGAGAGTTTCAGAGTCAGAAAGAAGGACCTTCTGAATATCAACTGTCTTTATCTTGTTTTACGCATAGGGGTATAGGGTGGGTTGTTGGTAAGGGCCAGTTCCTAACTCATAGCCACCCTGTAAAGGGTTTCCGAGAGCAGCTGGTGGGTTTGAACTACCGCCCTTGAGGTTAGCAGTCCAGTGCTTACTATATAGCACCACACCAGGCCTCTGTGTAGGCTGGAGACTCCTGGGGAAAGGCTAGGTTGTGGAGTCCCAGGTTCCCTTCCCATTTACCAGCTGCTGATTGGCCAACTGCTCTTGCCAGCTGTCCCTGAACTCCCGCTTTCTGATGTATGCTCCAACATAACATCTGGAAAAAGCCTCATCCATCACCTTTGTCACACCTTCCACTCAATCTGCTACCTTCTCTACAGTGAAATGGCATTATTAAAAAGCATTTTCATGAACGTTTATATTTACAAAACAAAAAACTGGCTTTTTTTTTTTTTTCATTAGAACTCCTTAAAGCCATTTCCCCTAGATATTTAAAGAGTTTAATGTTAAGTTTTTTTCCCCCCAAGTTATAAAATAAAAACCCCATTTGAATTTTCAGATGTACAAAAAGTGATAGCGATGAACCATTTTCGACCACGGAATCAGTCTGTTATTCTGAATCTTCACATCACCAATTGCTTCATTAGAAAGGTGGTTTTTTAAAGATCCCAAACCACATTACCGGAATTGTAGCAGAATTATTTGGCAAATGATTTTTCTTTGAAAATGCCACGTGGAGAAGACACTTGTCTGCATAGCATCAGAGCAGCAAGATACCGGAAAAATAAAAAATATCGTTTTATCGTATTAAGAGTTTAGAGTTTAGGAAATCCGATGCATTTCTCATCTTCATCATTGCTGGAATTTCGACGTCCCTTCCTAGTCACAGAATCAAAAAGTTCAAACCCAAAGCTGTCTCTCTTCATCAGGATGCAGAATAGTTAAAGGGTGGTTTTGGCAACATTCTTGATCATAATGAGGAATCAACTGCTAATTTGTCTTGTGATTTCAAGTTAATTCATTTCATATGAGGATTTTTTTCCCCCAGTTAGATTTCTTCACTGATATCTAAAAAACCATCAAAAGCAATACAAAACTTTGTACACCCCTATCCCACTTTTTCAACATGTCAAAGAAAGGAAAGGGGAGGGGATAGCAAACCAGGCCCCATGGAGTGATGGAAATATCAGCATATGTCAGATGGCATATGGTTGATGCTGCTGTGGTCACATGGGACCCCTTGCTTTTGCCTAAAAGAAGTCAGAGCCAACCCTGTTGTAACTCTCTGATGCTCATCACTCCAAATTTAATGTCTCTGTAGTAGTCAACAGGTAGAGAAGTGAAAAGAGAATTGTGATTTTATACACTGTGGCATCTCAAACCCATGCTAAGAGAGTTCAGAGAATTTGTCGGGTAAGCATTTACTTGATTTGTGATTTATTGTTGGGTAGGATCTATTATACTTTTGTGGGGTTTGATTTTGCTTTGTTTTTTGTGCTGCCATAGATATCTGCCATTAGTTAGTTGCCTAGTTGCCATAAAAACGAATAGTTCCCTCTGCAGAATGAGGTGAGTTCCACTGGCCAGTCATGATTTTCTTTGTGGGATGAGGTGAGGTGGAAGAATACAAGAGCCTGTTGCGATGCTGATATCCATGCCATCCTTGCAGCACCCACCACGAGCCCGCGTCGATGCTTATTTCTTAGATCTGATGATCTGCGCATAGAGAGGCTCCGATTCCTGTGGATAGAGGGACAGAATGAATCCCACCTGTTTCCAGAGAGCAGTTTTGTGAAACAGTTTTGGGAAAGAGGGTCTAGAGTGAGAACACAAAGGGGACAGCTTATGATGGATAACTTAAAGTTATTCTGGGGTTACTTCTGATCTTGGTGCATATCATTTTAGAAACATTTTTTTATCATCAGAAAGAACTACTCACCTAGTTTTAAACTTGCTTTTCAAGCTAAGACTGATATTTCAAATGGGGAAATAGCATGGTCTAGTAGTAAGAGCTGGGCATGGCAATTACTTAGCTGTGTGACTTGGCAAGATACTTTCTGAGCCTCAGTTTCCTCAACCATGAAATGTTAGTAGCACTATTTACCTTGCAGACTTTTTGAGAGTGAGAGACAACATGCATAAAGCATCTTGTACAGTGCTTGGCAGTGGTAACAACGATCATGAATCAAGTATGTGCATGTGTATCACGAATGTCCACTTGAGACTCCTGCAATCCAATCTCAAACTGCTCCGTGTTACACAAGGAGTGATGTCTTACACATGCGCTTTTGAGAAAGAGAAACAGCAGAATTGTGCCTTTTGCTCTTAGTGAGCCATTGAAACCCCCTATGGAGGCCAGTTGTACTCTGACACACATGGGGTTACCATGAGCCACAATCAACTGGGGTTTTTGATGTTCTTGTTGTTACAGGGATGAAACATTTACTTTTGCCTGTACTGGGCTTCAAGGTTGCATCTTAATCTTTCCTGGGTAGACTTTCTCAGACCATTCTTCTTTGGAGCTGCCCCTAAGAAGTCAAGCTGCCTTGATCTTACCCTACAATTTGCTCTATTCTAATTTTGGAAACTAATTTATCCAACTGAGAATGACACCTAAAAACAGAAGACGACAGCAGGCTCAGACAGGGTAATTAATGCCACACTGCATTAACTTTCTGCAGCTGAGATAAATATTCACACATCTCCTGCTTGCCGGAATTTAGCTCCAAATACCCATCACAACAGCAGTAACGACTGCAGTCAACTCTCAATTATCCCCACTAATGAAGGGGAGCAGTGGTGTGGAAAACCCCAAGAAGCAGATAATCCCAAAGTCTGACACTGTGATGCATTATATGTTTGGGCAATAGCTTTACCTTCCTTGATGCAGAATCTTAGACTGTCAGGCTAGAGGGGTGCTAAGAAATCATCTGATCTAGAAATTTCCAACCTGGCTTCCAGCAAGGTCACAATAGAGTCTTCAAGCTATTTTTCAACATTCCAAACAGCCTAAATGGAATCATCTATTAACAGAACACATTGTATGTGTTTTCATTTTCTTCTTTTTTCAGACTTGACCAGATCTCTGCCCTGCTTCAAATCCTTCACTGGTTCCCCATCACCCACAGGGGAAGATAAAAGCTCCTTAGCTGGGCCCACAAGGCCCATTAGTCTTGTAGTCCATTAGAGCTAATAAATATGCCTGCTAGACAATGAATCAAAACTCAACCTTCAGGTCACGTAAATCATGTTTAAAAATCTTTATGTCTCTGCTAGAATGATCTTTCTGAAATAGATTTGGTGAAGCCCATCACCTGATTTCATTACCCAGAGGAAAAGGTAAGTTACTCAGGATGGCACACAAAGTGCTTCAAATATGGCTCCCTGATCCTGACAAACCTCATCTCCTTCTCCTCTCCTATGCCCTACCATCCAGACTGTACTTCTGGTTTACCCTAACAGGACAGGCTTTTCTGTCTGTGAGACTTTGCTCAGGTACTTTCTTCTGTCCTCAGGATACCTCTTTGTTCTGTACCTGGAAATCCATATTCTAAGATCCAGCTCAGATATACAAGAGGGCTTCAAAAAGTTTGTGGAAAAATTGCATCATCTTGTAATTCCATCTTTTCATGAACTTTTTGAAGCCTCCTTGTAAAGGCAGGCAATTCTGCAGACAACTTGAGATACTCTGTTCCTGGGCTCCAGTGGTTCTTGAGTAGACCTCAGTCTTCACCCTATTATGTTGTTGTTTAGTATGTTCTAGACATAAACGTTATGTAGCTTTTACATTAATACTTGGGGAGGGAGAGTGGTGCACTTACTAACAATATGGAGAATGAGGAAGTGAATGAATGGTTAATGGAATTGGCAAATACTTAAGAGTTAGTTAGTCAGGCACATGAAGCTCATCTATGATTCTGACACATTACTATTATTTTTTCTAGAGGGCAAAAAAGAATATGGAAACCATACATAAAAACAAAATAACCTTTAACTTAAATGTCTTGTTTGTTGGGCAGTACAGTGAAAGAACATGGGTTTGGGGGGTCAAACAGACCCTAGGTTTGTATTCCTGTTGTCCATGTCTTCCAGCCAAAGACTACCAGGGACACATTTATAGTTGAGCAAGTTGGATTTATTACTCACTGCAGTGAGGGGAACTATGAGGCATCTTTATAAGGAGGTGTTAAGAAAGGGCTTATTGTAAGATACAAGCTTGTATTAAGTGTTTTTGGGGAAGGCTTTTCTCTGGTTTGAATGCTATCAGGAACTGATAGGAATCTTCTCATTATCTTACTAATTCTTCTTTGTTGTTGTTGTTAAGTGCTGTCGAGTCGGTTCCGACCCATAGCGACCCTGTACAGGGTTTCCAAGGCTGTAAATCTTTACGGGAGCAGAACGCCTCATCTTTCTCCCGCCGAGCGGCTGGTAGTTTCGAACTGCTAGCCTTAAGGTTCGCAGCCCGATTCGTAACCACTACACTACCAGAGCTCCTTTTGTTGTTGTTGGTGGTGGTCACAGAGTGGCCTTGTCTGATGTTGGTGTTCTGTGACAGTTTTCATACTTAACAAGACATCACCAAGATCCAGTTCTGAATTCCAGGCCAGTTCCTACTGTCAGAAACTTTCTTATTTTTGTTGTTTTACCTTCTCACCATCTCCCATGAAGTAGCGCTAGGGCCCTTTGGAGTTTGCTCCACTTCGCTGAAGGCCCGTTTTCTCATGTGTAAAATAAGGGCAGCAATCCCCTATGTGAAGAGATGCCGTGAGCCCTGAAGAAGCAAATGCAGGTATCGTATCACACGGTGGCTGGCACATTGGACGTACTTCAATAAAGGTCATTCCCCCTTATATATCAGGCCATGTGATTTTATCTTTCCTTTAAAGAAGATGCCCTTGGGAGTTTGACATTGGGCTGTTAATCACAAGGTCAGAGGTTCAAAACCACCAGCTGCTTCATGAGAGAACGATGAGACTGGCTGCTCCTGTGAAGACCTGCAGTCTTGGAAACCCTACATAAGGTCTCTATGAGTTGGAATTGACTTTATGACAGTACTTTTGGCTGTTTTCTTTTTCTTTCTTTCTTTTATTTTTATGGAAGACAGTTTTAAGCCTAAAATCACAGTGGGCCATTTCCAAGCTACTTCTCCTTCAGAGCAAATTACAACCCACTGGTGTCAAGGCCATTTTGATTCATAACAACCTTGTAAACCAGAGTAGAACTGTCCCCATAGAGTATCCTGCAGACTGGCTGCTCTGAACTACTGACCCTTTTTTAATTAGCTGAGTGCTTAACCACTGCACCACCAGGGATCCTTCCTTCAGAGCAAGTAGGCTCTAGTTCTGAAATATAATAATGGGTCAGCCTGAAGACATTGCAGAAAGAATGTGAGGGTTGGTCTGGACAATCTGTTTGCAACACCCTAAGGATAACAGAGACTTTGCCATGAATTGAACCTAGTTTCCTGCAGTAAACTACCACTGCTTTCATATGTGAACACACCTAGGTCCTTTTAAGCCTCCTCTCCACTATACTTGATGTGCTCTCACACAGAATTGTAAGTTGGAAGAGCCCACAGTCCTACATCTCCTTTCCCTGGGTGAAGAAAGCAAAGCCCAGACATGAGGGGTAATTTCCCCCACGCCACACAAGAAAACAGTGGAGAGCCAGAATAGCCCAGGGTCCAGACTCCCATTTCTATGCTTGTTTCTTTGTTTATTGCTCCCTCAGCAGCTCTCTAGCTTCCAGTCTTAAGGCAAGTAGCATTTTATACCACATTACAACAAAACTTTCCTGAAAGCCACCTCAACAGTACTTATTATTTTGGGTCAACCTGATATTTTACATTTGGTTGTAGAAGACTTGGCCACCATCTAGCAAAGGTATGCTCACAGGAATTTATCTTTTCATACTGGGGAGATGACACCACCTGTATAAAAAGGTGACCTCAGAAGTGAGGTCAACGGTGTATCACACAATCAACTTGCTAAGTGAGTCATCTGTGGCCATTCTAAGAACTTGTGCAAAGCCAAATCAAGGATCACATGGAACTGGGAGGTGAGTCCAAGTTGGAGTTTCTCAGTATCGCTCTGCACACGAAACATCTTCAGATTCATGGTCTCTTTAGCCCTAACACTTGGGCCTACGTCAATAAAGGTTTTTAATTCCCTGACGTAGAAAATGAAAAAAGTGATGGTAACCAAGGGAGGGGAAATAAGGTTGAAATAACTCAAAGTACTATCTGACTTCAAGTGGAAGATCACGAAAAATACATGAGTTTTAAACCAGCGAGATCCCAACAATCTTCACACCTAACTGCATGGTCATAGACAAGCGTTTCATCTCTCCGGACCTTAGTCTCTTCATTGGTAAAAGGGGATTCATAACATCTATCTTATGGAATTTTACCAAGTGATATGTGAACTCATATAACAGAAAGGACCAATACGTTCTTCACAAGCAGTGGGAATCTTCCTTCTCTTTTTATTCAAAGGAAAGGAGAAATAAAGTTGTTTGACCACCTCATGCTGAAATATGGTCTTCATGGGAGACTATTTCAAAACACAGGATGGATTTAATGATAATAATTTAGACACTGATGCTGACAAATGCACCAGTTTCCTGGGATCTTGGGTGCTGAAGCCCACAGGGGAACACAAAGATGCACAGTTTGAGCTCCTGGTGGGAAATTTGTACTTTCCCAACAATTAAAATGATCCCAAATGATCTGCTTTGCTCAG